AAAAAATCCTAAAGTTTATCCCCTCCAGCACTCTAGTGGGCAGGAATGTCCTCCCCAGGAGTCCTGACCTGCATGTGTCCAGCTTTTCTTGCTTGGCCATGCTTTTCTTGTGTTCAGTGAACAGACCACTCACCATCACTCACTTAGTGACTGCAAAGGCCACATTATAGAATTTGTATGTTGTCACCTGTTATTCTTGTGAATCTAAGAGAACCAGCTGCTCTTATTGGCTCAAATGTTCATTCTCTCATTCATTCACCAGAAACATATTGGGAGTGTGCTATGTGCCAGAGACCAAGATGGATAAAACATAGATACCTAGAGAAAGCATATTGATCAATTTACTTTGGCTGCTCACTAGATCCAAATCAATATACCTGGTTTGATCTATGGTGGTTAGTGAGAGAGGCCAAGGTCTCTAATCACTGTTTTTGAATGTGGATGACTGGTTGAATCTAAGGTGGAATGACTGGGTTAAACTAAGACAGAAGCCAGAATACACCAGTATCCTCAATACCTGGCCCCTATCCTCCAATTTTAATATCTAATTTTCTGCCATTCTGCCTTCCAAAATTAATACCTAATCTGTTGACCAATTAGAACCTACAAACATTTGTTATTGTATTTAATTTTTACAGAGAACCAAATTTCACATTAAGGGTAGCATTTAGGAAAGATTTTGGGATAAGACAGAGAGTTCCAATTACTCTTTGTGAGCCAAGTACTCTTTGAGGATCAGTTTTACTACCATAGAAGCGGGGGGTAAGCTATGTTTTGTGTGATTACCATGAGTTTAAATCAGATAAGCTGGTCTGTGGTCTTAATGATTTATGCTAGTTCATTCTCACCACACCTCTCTCAAAGACCACCTGCAAAATCGTGTTAGTCACTCCTGCTTTATCATAGGCAGAGCTTTCTCCAAAGTGAGAGCTCATTTCTCTGTTGGCAGTTGTTTCTAGAAGCCTCATGAGTAGTAAAAGTAGTGGCTGCCTTTTGGGAAGGTGATAAGCATACCAGAACAGTTGTTGCCCAGAGAAAGTGCTAGTTTCAACAGGAAGGGAGGCACTGTTTAGCTCTTAGTGATGCAGTTGGTTTGAGTATGGAATGAACCAAAGCTACTCAGGAAAGAAAAAAAATTTTGCTTCAGCAGATCCATTGGTTTATCTGAAAGTTCAAATAGGAATACTAATTATTTCTGAGTGAAATGAAGACCCTCATTCCCCTGAAGCAGTAATGGCTACATGTAGACACATCAGCATCTGAGGACTTGCAGTCTGTCAGTCCATGCACAGTGAGTGTCCAAGTCATCCTTACAGTCACTAAATTGCTTGTTTGATCTGAAAGTGAGAATGCCTTATACATTCATTTTGCTGTTAGGGCTTAGATACAAAGAGGAAAATGGTTTTGTGTTTATGAAGCAAAGTACTAACAAAAGCTTCGGAAATGGCTACAGTGCTTCTCTGGTGTAATATGCTTTTAAAGATGGCTTCATTGAGGTTTAAATTGGTGAAAGGGCACCCAAGTAGTCATCAGCATATACAGCTATGAAGGGAAGTCAGGCGGGTGAAGTCAAATGCCTCCTGGATTTGCAGCCAGAATCCCTGGAGGGCGTCTTGGATCTGGTACTTACTGTGTGGCTTTGGACAAACCACTCAGCCTCCCAGAAGCCTCTGCCTCTATTTCAGCATCAGTGAAACAGAGACCTCTCTGTCTTCCTCACTGGATTGGTTGGTTGGGTAAAAGGTGCCAATAAATAGGGGTGTGAATGAGTTTGTTGCTGGACACCTTAAACACACTTAAACTTGAGCTGGCCCAATCCAGCTCAAGGACCAGGGTGGTTTGGCTAGCACTATGTTTTAAAAACACTGAGCTTGAATGCCTTTAGACAGGGCATTCTCCCTTTCTCCCACAGGCCCGACCTGCAGCTGGTCTGATCATCAAGTTTATGTTGCCTGCCTGGCTGCTGCAGACACTCCGTCTTGGGAACCCTTATAACCCAAACACCGCTGTATATGTGGGACCAGCTTCTCACGCAGGTGAAATCTTTCCTAGGGGTACCCGGATGACACTGCTTCCTTTCTCTCTTCTCAAGCTCAGCTTGTTGATGTCTGTAACTCTTCTATGCAATTTCTTAGAAAAAATAAAATCCGTTAGTAGGGAGGATGACATTTTGAGCCTTAGCAATGGTGTAACTGAGATAGATGAGTTTAGCAAATTAAAAAAAAATTTTTTTCAGAGCAATTTTGGATAACAGAACCTCAGACACTGGCCATGTGTGTTGAGGAATGTATGAGTGGGAGAGGGAAACGCTATCCAGCAAGTAGCAAGGGAATAAATATGCATGGATGGGAGACATCATTATCTGTAAAATGGGAATATATATCGTATATTCTTGGGAGAGTTAAATGAAATCACTGTGTAAAAGGGCTTAAGACAGACAGGAAGAAAGTAGTTATTGTTGTTTTCCTGTCCTGAAAGAATGAACACACTTCTCCCAACCAAATGCATAGGGAAGAGGCAGATTGTGATGTGTGCTCGGTTCCTCACCTGTGCCTAGGTGTCTTGCCTTCTCTATTTCTCACCTATGTGTGGTCTCCTCCACACCAAACATTTGGCTATTTGATAAATAACTACATGAGGCACTGAATATTTCATTTATATCTGAAATCTTTGCCTGATGAAAATATCGCACAACAGCTGTTGATCATAATGGGTTTTCTAGCACTTAACAGTGTGGCCAAACGGAGGCAGTATTGTGGCCATCCTGAGGTCTGGTGTGCTCACCGTGTGTGCTTATAGTAAGTTAGTTTAATGTAGTACCACATCTGAAATGAACTGAAATCGTACAAAATTAGAAATGTCCCTTGTGGTTAGGTAATATCCAAATAGAATCTGGTAATTTCCCATTGAGGCAATTGTTGGAATACAGACGTTAATATACTACATGAACCTCTACGGCAGTTTCCCATACTATATTTCTGGAGAAAGACCCTCCAGAAGAGGCAAAGCATGTGGGACCATCAGTATTTTGTGGAAAAAGAAACTGAGATATTGCTTGGGCAACAAGATGGGGGATGAGCAGCTGATTAAAGAGGTTTACCTGACATCGCACCCCAGAGCTGAGAAGCTAGAAGTCAAAGCTCCAGCCTTTCAGCAATTTGTCCTGTTGCAAATAAGTGGCATGTGGAAAGACAGCTGCTTTGGAATAAGAGATGGTCTTGAATTCATGTTCCTCCTTTACTAGCTGAGTGCTTGGGGGCAAGTCCCCGAGACTCTCTGGGCCTCTGTCTTCTGAGCAATACAGTGTGGGATGACTGGTGCAGTGATACTAATGTGAGAGTTGCCGTGAAGTATAAAATGAGAACAGGAGAGCATCTGGCTTGTCTTCTGCCCCTTTACTGCATGGTGTCATGAATCAGACTAATTACTAAGCATCATCATTGTCAAGATCAGGGCTTGGGGTTGCCGTGTACCAGACACTCTGCTAAAGAACTTTGCATAAATCATCTTCTGTATTCCTCACAGCAACCTCTTGAAGTGTGCATTTCCCTGACTGGATTGATGAGAAAGTTGCAGGATGGACAGATGAAGCTGCTGATCCCAAGCATACACTTTAGAGAGGCTGAGCCCAGATCCAGGCCTTCGCTGGATCCCTACTGGTAGAGATGAAGGGAGATTCACCCAGACTTTAGGTCTCAACTTCCGTGTTTTGGAACATAAATAAGACTTTCATTGCAGGAAATATTTTACTAGTAAATTAAAAACAGTACTGTGAAATAGTTTCTTTTGTTATAAATTAGATTCTAGTGATTATAATGATTATATTTGTATTCTCAGGCTTCTCATTTGTTCCACACATTGAAATGCTGTCTTGATAGAAAAGAAAGGAGCAGAGAACTCTTCATGGCCTGGATTTGAACAGATTGCCCTGTCTGCATGAGTTGTTTGTCTGGAGAGTTATTTTTTATCTGCATTATCTGTATACAACCATACCAACCTCCCATTCCCCTTTGTCTGTATAGACATAGGCTTTGGCTATAGGTATACATTTAAAGTACACACAGACAGTCCAAGAGTGTTGGATAGGTGATACATATTCATCCAATGTCCATTTTCCTCTGGAATCAGTTCCAGCCAGGGACCATGTAAAAAGTGTGTTAGTAATCATCAAGTGAATTAGTGTGCATCTACTAAATCTCAAAACCTGGCCTGGCTCTCAAGGGTCTAAATTATTTGGATGATTGACCACAACACAGTCAGGTACGTGAGCAAATTCCATGTATCTTTAGGCTAAATGATCCAAAATTCAAAGTTTAAATATTTCCTCCTTTCCTAATGCCTTTGCTTAAATTCTTAGAATACTGGCATTTTCCTTATTTGACTTCGGGGCCAGTTCAGGGTCTCTGTAAGCAAGAATGTTGACTCAGATTATCTTGATAGTAAATATGTGGAGTGAGAAAGAGGATAGGGCAGATTACAAAAGAGAAGAGTTTCTCCTCTCATGGAGCTTCTACTCTCACACACACTGGCCTTGTTATTCCTAAACATAATATTCAAATGGGATGGGAGTGGCTGTTGAATCAATGGAAAACATTTCCATATTTGTGAGTTTAATTTTTCAGTCTTTAGGTGATAGTCATTAGATACACTCATTATTAGCCATAAAACACAAGGAAAATAATATTTGGAAAATCAACCCATTTATTTGATTCTACCTACAGAGCTAATTCCAAGATGTACTACATACTATAATTCAATGAACTAGATGAAGTACATACATTTTATCCATGGCTACAATCAATGATTGATTCAGTGCACTAGGTAACTGTTAAAATCTCTAAGGTAACAAACTTGAGGTAGGAAAGAGAAATGATTTGAAGAGTTTCTACCTACATTTTTTGCTCCTCTGTTACCCTTAGCTTTTGGGTCGTAGAAAGAAAGGGAGGGAAAAAATGTTAAGGGAAGATAGTGGGATGAAAAGAACACTCTTTAGAAGTTGGATCCCCTATATTAGAGAATTAGAAATGACTTACAGGACTTCCCCTCCACCAAATCTTGGAAGCTATGGTTAAAGTTAAATAATGGTTTCAAGTTATCTCTTGGTTAGCCACACTAATGGAGCCAAGGAATAATGCAAAGACATGAAATGCATTTGTATTTGTATCTGACTGGATTGTATGATTTTTTTCCCTACAGAAGATGTAGGATCCTAATTATATTTTACCCAGGCTACTGCTAAGCTGACTTGTATTAACTCAAACTATACCTGTTGTAGCAGAGGTAAGTAGCTGAGGCATGAATTGGAGAAAATGGGAAAGGGCATCCTCTTATTCAACTTTTGCCAGAGACAGTTTACACACGGATATGTAGTAGTTAACTGGGCATAATTCATGGGAAAATCAGATATTGAATTTGTAAATATTTCTCCAATGAGTATGAATGCTGCTGTATCATCCTCCTGCAAAACCAAATTAAAGCTCCTCTATGTAGAACAGCGGGTGTGCTTGGTGCCAGGTACTCTGATACTGGCCTGGCACGTCCAGTCAACTTGAATCCTTCTTCCCCAGACATTAAATGCCCTTGGGACAGGACAGTGGAGGTCCAGCAGGAAAGCAGGCATAAGTTTGGCTGGTGACTGATCCTTTCCCAAGAATGTCAGCTGGAGTTGGGACTTCAGAGCTGCAGTTTTCTCACTGACCCCTACAGACTCTTAGCCTCTGTCCTCTTTCTCTTACAGCCTGGTTCTCTTTGGTTGGGACAAGAGCACATGACTGATAGCTCCCATCGTGCTGATGATCCACAGGAAGTAAGCCTAAAATACAACACCGCGGGCCACTGAATGTCCACTGTGAGGTTGATACTACCCAACCAGGATGGATGGGCTCCAGGTGAACTACTGACAGGAAGTGCTCCACTAGGTACTGACCAAGCTTCTTTACTGTCCCAGGCACGTGTCCGAGTTTCTTGGAGTAAAAATCATTTCCAGCAAGTCACTGGTCTCATCTGGGTGCAAGGACAGGTCATTTTTTTTCTGTATGTTCTCAACACTCCTTCCTTGCAACGCTTTCACCTGGAATCGTCTCAGCAGTGTGACCAGGATGACTTTCATCATCACCATGGCTATGTACTTCCCTGCACATCCACGGGGCCCAAAACCAAATGGTTGAAAATACCTGTAAGGAACCTATGAAAATGAGCAGATAGTTAGCCAGAGTGTTCAAGGCTGGCCTCATGCAGCTGTTTTCGATCAGCTCTGAAAACACAGAGGAGTCAGAACCTGTGTTAGGGTCTTAGCTATACTGCTTCTTCCCCGAGAGGGACAGCGCCGACTCTCCTGGCTCTCTACCCAGTTTGATTCACCTCTTGTGACACAGACCCAACCTAGACAATCCCATTTTGCTTTTTGAATAAATTTTCTGGATTAAATCAATGCAAATCATCTTATTAAAGGAAGTCGTCATCTAAGGGATCTTCGCAGAGCTTGTGGAAGATGTGTATTTTGCATAAACTATGCATGGATTTCAAACTATGTATGGTGCATGGGATCACCAAAATAAATTTCTTTTCATTAAATTTTTTACCATAAACTTTTTGAAGTCCCCTCATAAACTCAACTAGCTTTGTTGAGGAGTCATAGCTTTACTACTTTTGCAAGTACCAACACAAAGTTTGTTTCTATGTGATGCTATATATCTGATGAAAAGGAACAAATGCAGGCAACGATATGGATTCCTGGCTCATCAATGCCACATATATAACTTTTTATAGTTATGTAGAAAATTAATGAGGACACATCCTTCTGTCTTGTCTGCATCTAGACTTACAGCATGTAGTAAATGTTCAATAAATTTTTGTTGACCAAATGAGTGATTTATATAACTTTATCTGGATTGCCTGGCAGGATAAGTGTAGTACTGGATTAATACTGGGTTTCTACATCATACAAAATGGAAAAAGGACACAGGGAGGGAACTGTCTGGATAATTTAGGTTTAAAAACATTGTTGCCTGAAATTTGATATCATGGAGTCAGAATCTACAGTATACACCAATTACAGAAAAATAAAAGGCTAAACTTCTAATTATTGAATCTTATTTAGAATAGGAACTGTTGCTCATGGGGCCATTTGATGCACCAAAGGCAGCCTGCATTGTTTTCCATTGGAAGCCTGGTTTGTTTTCCATCTGAAGCAAAAGTAGACTTCCCTTTGCTTAGATCAAGGTACAACTGGATCTACATGGTCACAAAGTTATCAGTCTAAATGCAAAAGTGAGTTGATTGAGTTAAACAAGATTTGCCTCTGTTTGGCCAAATCGAAAGAGTCTGTATTTTTCACGTCTTGATCTATTATATGATCATCATGGAGCTATTTCCTGGAGATGGATACCCAGCATCCTTGGCTTGAGGATAAATACGATATCATATTTCAAGCGAGGGGGCATAGTGGAGGGGAATGAGTTAGAAATAATAAAATATACATGGGGCAAGCACAGAAAACCGGATTTAATAGATGACATTGTCAAGAGTGACACGTTCAGTTTTAAGGAAGGGCTCTTACATTCTTTGCGAAGTTTTCAAGAGTAAATTCATTGGGCTTGGGAAAAAACTCAAGTCGATGCATTCTTCCAATATTCAGGATAATGTTAGTTCCCTTTTTCACTGGGTAGCCATCGATGACGTCATCTTCTAAGGCTTTGCGCATGACCAAGTCCACGACAGGCTGGTACCGCATGCTCTCATAAATGAAGTTTTCCACCACTTTTAATTTTTGTATATCATCAATCCTTATATCTCTTTCACCTGTGGGGACAGATGAAAAGGACAAGAGAGAGAATGTTAGTTTCACTAGGTGACAGGCAATAAAGCTCCTGTTGTCCAACAGAACATTTCGCCTTGGCTGAAAGAAAACAAAAACAAAAAAAAAACAAAACAAAACAAAACAGAACTACATCTAATTCTAATTTACCTCAGCAACTGGGACCAAATATATTTGATACACAGAATCTTTTATAAAAATTCAGGTGTTAGGCCAATTATCTTAAAAACCTTGGAGATTTCATAAAGAAGCCTGGATTTCCAATAAAATCAGAAAACTTGGTAAGGCTGGACCCACATTTCCCTGTGGCAATGGTGGGCTGAAGTTGAATGGCTGATCACAGCCTGTGGTTCCATGTGGCCACTTCCAGTCTATTTCAAACATCAGTTTCGTCTGAGTAGCCTCTGAAATTTTTGGTTTTCTTGTCGCCTATTCTAAATTGTAGGGGACATTCATTCCCTCTCTTAGCTTGGGAGCAAACTAACACATCAGCTAGCCCAGAGATGGATGCTCAGGCTGCTTCATGCTCAAAGTGAGACTGTGGACTTGCCTTTCAGTGACATTTCCTCCTCTGGTTAGCTGTGCAGTCATGTCCCTACAGATGTCACTGATAGTCCCTTAGCATCTCATCAAGAACAACCTGCTGCCTCGAGTGGTAAGAACGCCTCTTTCTCTACCAGGCAAAATAGGCCCCCAGGTCAGCCCTGGGTGGCTGGGAATTGGCAGACACCTCCACTGTCTCAGATTGGCCGGAACTGGTTAAAGAGGCTCAGATGACTTCCAGACTGGCAAAGCTTCACAGCATCCTCAAACAGGCTTCCACAGAATCACAGGCAGCCCTGGGAGGGAGAGGGAGGGAGGGGGCAGAGGGGGCTAACATGGTGCAGCAGGTCAAGCCACTGTCTGGGATGCTGGCATCCAACATAGGCCCTGGGTGGAGTCCCAGCTGCTTCATTTCTGATCCAGGTCCCTGCTAATGTGCCTGGGAAAGCAGCAGATGATGGCCCAAGAACCTGGGCTCTTGCCACTCATGTAGGGGAACTGCATGGAGTTTCTCTACATGCTCCTGGCTTTGGCCTGGCCCAAATCTGCCTATCTGAGGAATGAACTAATGGCTAGAAGATTCTCTCTCTCTCTCTCTCTCTCTCTCTCTCTCTCTCTCTCTTTCCTCTACTTCTATGTAACTCTGCCTTTAAAATAATTAAATCTACAAACAAACAGCCCAGGGTTCTGAAATAGTCCTGTTTCCTGCACAACTAAGCCATTTAGGAAGGGTCTGGTTTGATCAGAGCACTCTACCAGATCTTCCACTCATACACGGCTCTTTGCACAAGTGAGGGTCGAACAGGGTATGTATATGTGGGGGAGGGACGTAGAAGGGAAGACAATGGAGAAGGTGACTAACAATGCTCCCTAGGACGTAATGACCCTGTCTATGTTTGGAGCACAGGCAGGAGCAGGACACAGGTGCATGTGGCTCTGCTGGCTTTCCACCTTTGCAGTGGTCTGCTGAAGTTTCGGGGACATTGAGAAGCACAGAGACTTGTCATTTCTCAAGGAAGTTGTGTTTAAATAGTATTAGAGGCTGAAGTTTCCCCCTGTTCCCTGAATGCCATTCTTCTGTGATACCATCTTCAGTCACTCCATGAGCTTGCTCAGTTCTTGTTCTTCTAACAGCCCAGGAGCCCCCTAAGTGCAGGGATGGTACTGACTTGTTCACTGCTGTACCCCTGGCCCCTGGCATGGAGCCTGGTAACCCAATGAAGGAAGGCATTTGAGATAACATTGAGCCCAGGTGTTATTCTGCTCCTTGCTAGCTACATTGCCAGGGTGTTTCCTAGATATGTGATGCATCTACAGATTCCTTCTCTCACATTCATAACCCTTCTTTAACATTTCCCCTTAGTTTCTTTTTTTTTAACTTTTATTTAATAAATATAAATTTCCAAAGTATAGCTTTTGGATTACAGTGGCTTTTTCCCCTCCCCATAACTTCTCTCCCACACGCAACCCTCCCATCTCCCTCTCCCTCTCCCAATCCATTCACTTCAAGATTCATTTTCAATTCTCTTTATATATAGAAGATCAATTTAGTATATATTAAGTAAAGATTTCAAAAGTTTGCACCCACACAGGTACACAAAGTGTAAAGTACTGTTTGAGTACTAGTTATAGCATTAATTCACATTGTACAACACATTAAGGACAGAGATCCTACATGAGGAGTAAGTGCACAGTGACTCCTGTTGTTGACTTAACATTTGACACTCTTGTTTATGGCGTCAGTAATCACCCTAGGCTCTAGTCATGAGCTGTCAAGGCTATGGAGGCCTTTTGAGTTCGCCGACTCCAATCTTATTTAGACAAGGTCATAGTCAAAGTGGAAGTTCTCTCCTCCCTTCAGAGAAAGGTACCTCCTTCTTTGATGGCCTGTTCTTTCCACTGGGATCTCACTCACAGAGATCTTTCATTTAGGTGTTTTTTTGTTTGTTTGTTTGTTTGTTTTTGCTTGGATTTCCATACCTAAAATACTCTCATGGGCTCTTCAGCCAGATCTGAATGCCTTAAAGGCTAATTCTGAGGCCAGAGTGCTGTTTAGGACATCTGCCATTCTATGAGTCTGCTGTGATGCCCGCTTCCCAAGTTGGATTGTTCTATCAGTTAGCATTAGCAGACACTAGTCTTGTTTATGTGATCCCTTTGACTCTTAATCCTATCATTATGATCAATTGTGACCTGAAACTGATCACTTTGACTAGTGTGATGGCATTGGTACATGCCACCTTGATGTTCCCCTTAGTTTCAACCATTTCAAGCAATGTCCAAATATATATATAATTTTTTTTTGGATAGGCAGAGTGGACAGTGAGAAAGAGACAGACAGAATGGTCTTCCTTTTTCCGTTGGTTCATCCCTCAATGGCCGCTGTGACTGGCACGATGCACAGATCCGAAGCCAGGAGCCAGGTGCTTCTCCTGGTCTCCCATGCGGGTGCAGGGCCCAAGCACTTGGGCCATCCTCCACTGCACTCCCAGGCCACAGCAGAGAGCTGGCCTGGAAGAGCAGCAACCGGGACAGAATCCGGTGCCCCAACCGGGACTAGAACCCGGTGTGCTGGTGCCGCAGGTGGAGGATTAGCCTATTGAGCTGCGGCGCCAGCCCCAAATGGTTTTTAAAAGATGGTGCCCTTCCACAACCAAATAACTTGCTTCACAGGGAACTTGCTTCACAGGGTTTGTGTGAAGTCAAGGAAAAAAAAACCTTTATATTGTGTGCCATCTCTTCATTTCTGTAAGACATTACCCATGTGAAGAGGTAAACTCTAAGGAATTCCATTTTCTCCTAGAAAGCAACTCTGATTTCTTACAGATGTGGCAGTGTTTCTGTGGAGGATTTGGGGTGTAATGTGCCGAAGACAGAGCAGGGATAGATGGGGAAGAGCTCAGTGGGGACCTGGAGGCCCCCCTGCAGCGGAGGAGAGGGCGGGTAGGTCTGGGGCAGAAGGGGCTGGCATCCCCAGGTGGGGGTGGAGAGGAGAGCTCATCACTCCCCGACCTTTGTTGTGATCCCCCCCCCCCCCAATTCATTGGCCAAATGGAAGTTAAGTTGTGATTGGGTTTCTTAAAACCGACAAACACTGCTGTAAATGACAGCCATCTTCCCAGTGGGGACACAGATACCTTTTGTAACTGATAAAGTGGGCAGAGCATTGTATGTTATCCCATGTTTTTGTAAAACAGACAAAGCCAACCATAGGAAGGGGCCTCAAAAAGATCATGGAAAAACGGGATTAAAAAATAATGCATATTTTCCATGAACTTTTAGAAAGCTTCCTGTGTGTGTGTGTACACAGAAAAAGACCTTGAAGAATGCACTGTAAAACTACTAACAGTGGTTAGCCCTGGGATGCGGGGATGAAAGTGGGAAAGAAATGGAAGGGATTGGGAATGTCACTTTATGTTTTATACAGCTCTCTCTTACTGCATGTCTTCATTGGATGTATGTTTATTATTTTAAAAGACAGAAAGAACCGTCTTTTCAACCTAAAGGCATAATCACAGTGTGACAGAATGACTTGCTTTATTATTCTCTGGGTGGATTATAAAAGATACTGTGTTTGACATCAAATTCTTAGGACATAAGAAGCCGGCATTCAGCATGAGCTGTGTTTTATGCCCTGTTACTTATCTGATAAATTCTTTTTTAAATTTTTTTTTGACAGGCAGAGTGGACAGTGAGAGAGAGAGACAGAGAGAAAGGTCTTCCTTTGCCGTTGGTTCACCCTCCAATGGCCGCCGTGGCCGGTGCACCACGCTGATCCGATGGCAGGAGCCAGGTGCTTCTCCTGGTCTCCCATGGGGTGCAGGGCCCAAGTACTTGGGCCATCCTCCACTGCCCTCCCGGGCCACAGCAGAGAGCTGGCCTGGAAGAGGGGCAACCGGGACAGAATCCGGCGCCCCAACCAGGGCTAGAACCCGGTGTGCCAGCACCGCAAGGTGGAGGATTAGCCTAGTGAGCCGCGGCGCCGGCTAATATCTGATAAATGCTTACCAACAACAGTCTGGATTTCCTCCATTATTGCCTCCTCAACACTAGGGTGCTTTGCAATGAGAAACAGCATGAAGAACACGCTGACGGACATCGTGTCGGGGGCCGCAATCAGCATCTCCAGCACACACTGGTTCACGTTCTCTCTTGTCAGGTCGCCACGTTTCTAAGCGATAGGAAGAGCAGGGAAATCGGAAAAATGAACCAAAGTTTTTTAAAATGAGAGGAGGTGACACTCAAGAATCGACAACCTCAGCCTAACGAAGTAATAGAAATTACTTATTTCTGTAATTGACTGTGAATGTTTTACATGACAATCTTTAGCTGAAACATAAAGAAATTTAGCTAATTATCCCTGTACTGTCAGCCCTCCATATCCTCAGCTTTTGCATCTGTGAATTCAACCAACTGCAGATCAAAAATATTTGCAAAAAAATTGCATCTGTACTGAGCATGTACAGATTTTTTTCTTGTCATTATCCTCTAAACAATATAACGACTATTTCCATAGTATTTATAGTGTATCAAGTATCATAAATAATCTAGAAATGATTTAAAGTATAACAAAGTATGTGCATGAGTTATACAAGTGCTATGCCATTTTATGTAAGGAATTTGAGTATATGTGGATTTTGTTATCTGTGGGAGAGGGTGGAGGCTCTGGAAACAGACCTCTGCAGATACAAGGGTCTAATGTACTTAGTGTCTTTGGTGTTCCTCCTTCCTCTCTTCATAATTTGTATTGTGACACAAAATAAGTTTCCATTTACGTGGTCAGTCTTGCTAGAAAGTTTAATGTGGGGGCTATTTGGGTTGGGTATTCTAGAATGGCTAAAGAAAATACTTAAATGCAGAAATACGCAAAATTTTTAACGGAAATCTTTACACATCTACACACAAACAGTCATAACATGTATTATGAGGGAATTATGGTTAGTTCAGGTCAAGTACCTCAGCAAAAATCAAGTTAGTAGCAAAATCCATATGGTCTTCCAGTTTCTCTGCTGTGGAAATCCTGCGTCTTTTTTCCTCTACCAGAATATCTATGGCATCTTTCAAATCCTTGCTAGAAAAAACAGTCAAAGTATAATCTGTTTGTACTCAGTTTAGACATCTAGCAAAATTGATTCATTTGCTATTTGTTGAAATAAAATCTCCTTTAACTGAAGCCATTGGTGCTCATAAATAATTAATATTTTTTCTACAAATATACTTAACCTATACTTTAAGGTACCAGAGTTAGCTGAGATTTCTAGGTTAAAAATCTGATGACATAAGGCTAAATCAATCATGTTTTTCAACTTCTGATTTGGCAAGTTCAGATTTAAAAAAACCAACACAGAAAACATCTGTGAATGCTACTAGGGGAGGCATTCACTCTTCCGTTAGCCGCAAGCACCTCCGTTTCTTGCTCCCTATCCACTATAGCCCACTTTTACTTGCCTAGTCGTGAAGATAATATTGAGATTCCTGTTCTAGACATTAACTCAAGTAACTTATTCTTAAGCCTGTGTAGTTACTGTCACATTGTAAACACTAGGTAAATATCTGTTGGTTGAGCCACTAGCTGCATAAATATGTCTACCCAGTTTGACTATGTGGTAGAAGAAAAAGCACCCTGGACAGAGGGTGAGGTTTTAGTTAGTGATTCTATGTAACTACTTTCTGTGTAGCTACTTGAAGTCTCCAACTTTCTGTCTCTTAAAGTAAAGGAATTAAACTAAATGAAAAGTAAGATCACCATAGGATCTAAGTTCTGTTATTCTTGCCTCTGTTTTTAACTGTACATGTTTGTGAGTAAGAGTATTGTTTTCTGATACCAGGGAATAGTTTTCTGTATTACATTAAATGTATAATAAATGTTTCAAATTCTTGTTGACATGGTCACCTTTACACTTAAAAGCCTTGTTGATGTTGTTGGAATAAAAAGCCTCTATGTTTACTCCAGCTCAGCAGGAAAAGTCAGAGAAAATTCTTTAAGCAGCACTCCATGTGTCTCTGAGTATACACACGCATGCGCACACACACACACACACACACCCAGGTACACACCACAGACATCGCAATCATGTTCATTTGTTCACCCACCCATCCATTCTTTTAGAAAATATTGTTGAGCTTCTCCTACATACAGAGCACAGATATTCCATTGATGGGCTATGGTGCCCTCTTCCTAGTAGGCTTAGAATGCTTATAGTCTTTGCACCTGAGCACTAGCCCCAAAATGTTCTGGGAACTGCTGTAATTCCCTGGACTCTGAATTCATAAAGAATTCTTTGGCAGAACTGTAGCTGCTACTGAGTATGGACTTCCTCCCTGACCTGGAATCCAAGGTTTTACATCAGCAGCCTGGGAAAGCCCATCGGCATCCTTCTTTTCTTTCTTTTTTTTTTTTTTTTTTTGACAGGCAGAGTGGACAGTGAGAGAGAGAGAGACAGAGAGAAAGGTCTTCCTTTGCCGTTGGTTCACCCTCCAATGGCTGCTGCGGCCGGTGCACTGCACTGATCCGAAGGCAGGAGCCAGGTGCTTCTCCTGGTCTCCCATGGGGTGCAGGGCCCAAGCACTTGGGCCATCCTCCACTGCACTCCCTGGCCACAGCAGAGAGCTGGCCTGGAAGAGGGGCAACCGGGACAGAATCCAGTGCCCCAACCGGGACTAGAACCCGGTGTGCTGGCGCCACAAGGTGGAGGATTAGCCTAGTGAGCCGTGGCGCCGGCGACATCCTTCTTTTCAAGGTAAAAGTTGCCCCTACATAAATGCATGCATCTGAACGTACATGCCTTTCAAAACTGCGAGAACTGTGTTCAGTGACGGTTTTCAGAGAATAGGAAGTTTTTGACTGACAGACATGTAGTGCAAGAGTGCATCTGGAAAACTGTCCTTGGAATTCTGAATACATTTTGCACCCACAGTGGTGTCAAGACTATCAGCCTGCCTTATCTGTTAACGCTTATTTAAGGTAGTGTAGAACTAAAAAGCCCTACGTTCGCCAAAATAAAGAGTAAAAGGCAAAAAGTAATATTTGGAATTAAAAGAGGCAAAAGGGCCTGAACTGTGGCATAGTGGAGAAAGCTGCCACTTGCAGTGCCAACATCCCATGTGGGTGCTGGTTCAAGTCCCTGCTGCATCACTTCTGCTATGGCCTGGGAAATTTTTAAAAAATAAAAAAGGCAAAATATGTAATTTAATAGAGATGGGATAGATGTGTTCATATCCTTCCCATACATGTATTATTTAAAAATGTGGGCATCATTTTAAGAGCATGGGAGAAGAGACTGAAAGATTTCAATAGCTCTTTATTACCCCAAGACATAGGAGATTTAAACCAGTGCACTAACCATTTGCAAATATTACATATAGAGGGAGTGAGTCTCATGCAGAAAGCTTCAATGGCTTGATAGCCAAGACCAAAGCTAATCTAATGACCAAAAAGCATACAATGAGACTCTTCAGTCCATCATCACAACCACCACCAAATCTGACCACAACAAGAGATCAATCTTTATCAAACTGATTCAAGTCAGTAAGCTCTGATGGAAATGAAATGAAACATATAAAGAACCAAGTGTCCAAATCATTCACCTAATATTCATTAATCACATGAGATTATGCAAAGCAACATCAAGTTGGCCTGGAAACTTGTATTATTGAATTTCAAAATCCACAAATAGGAGATAGGTGGATCTTCAAACGAGTTCAGGGATTTTTATACATGGAGAATTTAATATGGTTGGGGACATCTGAAGAAGATATGAATGTAGGGGAAGGGGAAACTGACATTCTTAGTGCCACAATGTCCCAGGCTCTATGCTCAGTGCTCCGTGGAAATCATCTCATTAACCTATGCCCTCACTCTGGAGAAGTTATAGTTTACCTTCAATAACTTCGCAAGATCATTTAGGTGCTAAGTATTACAGATAAGACACAAGCCAGGTTTTTCTGCCTCTGTATGTCCTGGGCTTTCCACTGGTGTTAGAGGAAACAGGGTTTAGTGCCTGGCTACTTGCACTCTAAAAACCCACTGATTAGTTGACAGAGTACTGGACATTTGCCCACTTTTCTACTGGACTAGTCTAAGACCAGAACAGAGTGATCTAATGACAATTTCAAGACTCTCAAAATGTGAGCTATGTAACAAAATCCCCCCAAACACATTTCATTGAAGTTCATTCTATTCATGATAAAAAAAAAAATTCTATGAGGACTACTGTTAGCTGTTACAAGTAGAGTTATATTAACTTAGAAATAAGACAACTAAAAATTGATTCTGTTTCTGGTTTTCAAGATAATGTGAAACAGCTTTAACAGATATTAATGATAGGACGAGTCATCTCTTTTCTTCAAATCAGAGCGTTCTACAGTGCCTAGTTCCAGAAAGGAAGTTCTCAGAATGCACACTCGCCCCCTAGCTGAGGTGCTGCCAAGCCAAGGTCTTATTGTATTCCTTGGTCTGGTGAAACGCAGTCAAATTGTTATAGGAAATGTTTCATCAGCAGCTTAATCAACAGCTCTGTTTGAGCCCTGGAGAGCAGAAAACTTAGTAAAAAGGCCAACAACAGAAAAGACACAATGGAAAAAACCTGATGGTGTTCATAAATCTTTCAAACTTATGTTACTTACACAGACTTCTCATACTTTTTGTATAACCAGGAAATCTTGAAGAAGATGTTTGGTTTGAGGAGGAGAGCTTGCCAGGCATCAAAATAACCCTGGATTTTAACGACGATGGCACTTTCTAGGGGAAGGAAAAGAAAGAGCGGTTGAGAAAAGTGCGCACCTAAAAAGGGTGCTCTGAGCACTAGACATTCCCTGTAGATTCTGCTGCCGGTCTGGGGTTCTAACTGAGCAAGGTCTTGTCTTTGGTGGGCATGTTAGCCTCTTGGGTACCACCAGACAGATTGAGCTCTGATTTATTTTGCTTGGTGGCTAAATTGGCTAAGTTAACCAGAGATTTGCCAGTTTTGAAGTTTGTGTTTAAGCCTAGAATCTCACATATGCCCCTTTTTGTGGACCTGCCAACTCTCTCCTATGTATTTTTTATAACAGTAACTAATAATTATGACTCTCACGCCCTTGACTCTAGCACCCAAGAGGGCAAGAAGCAGAGCACATTAGGCAGCTAACAGCTGCATTCTAACTTCATCGGTATCGGGTGTTACGAATGTTAAATGGCAAACGTATATATGAAGAAGCTCTTGCACTGCTGGGCACATGGTGGATACCAAACAAATCACAGGTGTCACCATCATTCCCACTTGCAGCAGCACCATTTTTTTTTCCCATCATGCAGCCAAGGTCAAAGTTTTCACCTTGGTGGCTTTGAGGGACAGATGTGTGTGTATGCATAAGTTTGAAGGATCTTCAAAAAGTTCATGAAAGATGTCTATTATGAAAAACTGCATGAATTTCAAAATTATTGTACGCCCAAATAAACTTATATTGCATTCCATTTTCCATGAACTTTTTGATTGGAAATGATCAGCTATACCAGTTTGAATTGCAGTAGGATATGTTAATGACCAAATGAACTGATCACATTTGTTAGGTTTGGATGGGGGGTGGGTAGAATCATATTTCCGAGAGCAATAAGGAGAAAGAGAAAAACCAAGAAAAGCTGGCCCTACTTTAGAGAAATTTGTATTGTATAAGATGGCGAAAACACAAGGGGGAAAAACGTTATGAGGACTTCACTATATTTTACGAAGAGCAATGTGCAAGACAGCCTGAGTGTACTCTAGTCTGCTGTCCCTCTCACCCCCCTGCTCAGCACAAGGCAGGAGATGCGGTCGTGAGAATGGGAAGCTCGGTACCGTCCATGGGGATGCCCAGGAAGAGCGTGTTGGAGGTGTCCAGCATGATGCGCCGCATGAGGGTCAGCACGTCCACGCAGCCCGACCGGGTGGTCACCTCCTCCAGCTTGTCCAGGTGCCGCCCGATGGATCCAACGCAGATCGCCACCATCTGAACAAGCCCAGGGCCTGTCAAAGCTGAAGGGGACAAGCCAGAGAATGGGCTGCCACTCACTGCAGGCCACTCGCAACGCAATCCATCAGGCCACTTTGCCCATTTTTTTTTAGCTTAATTGTTAGTTGTATTCACTAGTGGAGTGAAAATTTTCATATTCCACACTTTCCTGTGTGTTGCTAATGTTCTACAAGCATATGCTAACGTTATGGTTAAAAATGGATGAATATTTTTTCAAACCAACTATGTAAAATTCAACTCTTATTCATGATCTCCAAATCATTGGTGAGACTGTGAATGAAACATGTAGCACTTGCGGTCGTAAGTCACATAGCAGTATTTTTCATATGTGTTGTATATATTTCCTGCTAATGATGGATTTGATTTGGTCAGAGTCATACTTACCTTATGCTTCAAGTAGTAGGATATTACTACACAACTAGTCAAATTTGGATCGTAAATCTTTGATCTAATGTGCTTCCTGTTTGGTTGTAGGTATAAAGTACAGTGTTATAAATCACAAAAAGTGTTCTTCTCTCAATTTCAGTTTCTCTTTCTACCACTTCAAAATCTTATTTTATTCAATCAATGGCCTCACAGCTAAGCAAATCTTTGTTTAGCAGAATTCCCCACTGAGCCAGCAATGCTTTAAGGAGTGACAACCACTTAAAAGCATTGTACAAGTCAGTAGTGCATAAGGGCCCTTGATATGCATTTGTCAAACAGAGGAATGAATAGAAACTGGTAGAGTGAACTGACTCTGATCTCGCCTTGCTTTGCTCCTAACTGTCTGAGCTGTGGCTAGTGGGTCTAGATGGGAGGTGGTCTATTATGAGAGTTTTACTCTTAAAGTTCCCCTTTTCCTCCTTGTTCTAAGTTTTCTTTAAACTTCTTTCAGAAGTAATCTTCTTTTTTTTTTAAAATGTCTTTTCTTATTCAGGGCTAATAAAAAAAAGTCACAAAGATGTTAGGGTTGGTTGAATCTCCAAGTACTGTAGATTCTATGTTCTTTGAATGCCTCATACCAGCGGCCTCCCCTCCACCCAGCCAACATCACTACAGTGTCCCCTCACCTTTCTCCCTGCTCACATTCTTGCCTGGTTCCATGATTGGAACTAATGCCCTTCACTCTGCTTCCAGAGGGATTTTTCTTCCCAAGACACAAATACGTGCATGTCATTGTGCTTAAAATCTTTAGGATTCCTCATGGCTGGTGAGATAACTCATCTCCTTGGCTTAAGAGAGGAGTCTTTGGCAATCTGGCCCTGCCCTCCCATTGGCCTCATTCCTCTATGTATCTGTGTCAGGCACAGGGCCTACTGACAGATCCCTGGACATGGATACATCGATCTGTGCTTCCATGCCTTCACCTGTCCTGTTCTGTACTCCTGGCCTATCTTTGCTTACCACACTTTCTTAATTAGGTAGCTTCTAGCATCTTTTGGAAGTCATTATGATCATCCACTCCTCCAAGTCTCTCCTGACGGCTTGGGGGTTTTGGATGCTCATCTTGTCTGTGCTCTGTAGTGCTGTGTGCACCGCTAGCATTACCATCATCTAGCGCGGTATTTGGTGATGTACTCCTCTGACCCTCCTGATTCTCTCTGCTTCCCCGCCCTGCTGCCACCCCGTTATAAGCTTCTCAAGAGCAAGAACCATGTCTTGTTTGCTGTATTCTTGACACCTAGTTCAATGACAAGAACAGTAGTTTGTCAAGTGGATGACTTTCAGGATTCTATTGACTAGTGCAAATCAGTGTACAGGATACTGTTGTGTGAAAGTTAACTACTCCTAAATACTGGTTCATATATTCCTAAAACTTTTGGGTTAAATGACAAAGTAAAATAAAACTTACATTTCTATGGGATTTTTACATCATTATTTTACATATTCCTCATAGTAGCCCTAGAAGACAGTTCTGTAATATGCATCATCTTGTGTGGATGAGCGAACGAAGGTCAGAGAGGCTTAGTGACTTGCCTGAGGGCATACAGTTAGTGTCAGCGCTGGGATTTGAACCCATAAGCTATAATGCTGAGTCCTGTTCACTTTTTATTAACCCATTCTACAGTTTTGTAAGGCACAAGGAGATTGATCTGTCCCAACATGAACGATATGCAGAATAATAGCTCCCCAAAAGTTGTCCAGACGCTAATCCCCAAAACTGATTAATATGCTACATGGAAAAAGAGATTTGGCAGCTGTGATTCAAGAACCCTGAGATGGGGAAATTGCTGCGGATTGTCTGGGACAGGCCCCACCTAACCCCATGAGTCCTTAAAAGCAAGGAACGTTTCCTGGCTGAGGTCAAAGCGAGAGAGGTGCTGTGAAAAGGAGTTGACTCACTGTTTCTGGTTTTTAAGCTGGAAGAAGGGGCCGTGAGCCATAGAATGGGGTGGCTTCTCAAAGCTGGGAAAAGGCACCCAAGAAGATTCTCCCCTAGAGCCCTAGAGCCTTGCCAACACCTTCCTTTTAGTCCATTAGGACCCATGTCACACTTGTGAACTTAAGAACTGTCAGGCAATAAATGTGCTGTTTTAAGAGTCTTTGTGGCAGTTTGTCACAGCAGCAGTAGGAAACGGATACACTGTGGCCCACAACAGTTGTGCTGAGTCTTGGCAAAGGGCCACTCTACAGGGTGGGATCCACACTCAGCTAGCAGGGCCAGAGGCTTAGCTTTTTCCTGTCTTAGCAGCCATGCAGGAAGCATTTGGGTTCACGATGGAGGCTGGCTGGAGGGAAGACTATCAGTGCTATAGGGTCAGACCTAAGCTAGGTCCCGTCAGTAGGAGGCTTTCCGGGTCATGGTTGCCTTCCTTGATCTTCCTTGATGTTTGAAGTTAGTGTAAGACGTGATCAGCACATGATTTGTACTTTCCCACTGCTTTACTTCTGGCATGGTTTAGTACGGGGGTGGGGGGGAGTCACTGCACAAGGAGGCTTGGAATCAAGTCTGCTCATTCATAACTAGCTATGTTGCCTGAGTTAAAACCACAACCTCTCTCAGGCATTATTTCCTCAGTTGTGAAAGTCAGAGCCCAGATGAGACAAAATATACAGTCCTAAAATTCTCTTAATTCACCCACCATTTGCTTTCTGCTTAAGCATCTGGGCTATTCGCTAATGACTCAACAAATACACTTGCTGACTACGTTTAAATCAGATATATGGCTGACTTAAATGTTTGACTGAATTGACCCTAACTATGCAGCTTCATCTCGTCTTTGTGTACATGTAATTGCTTCATACACCAACAGGAAGAAAAGGATTCGTGGTGTTTAAAAATGTAGGCTTTGATGTTGTTTCCTGGGCCACTTTTTACTAATGTTGGAACCTTGGGCAGATTCTTTGGGCTTTTTATGCCTTGATTTTTCTCATCTGTAAACTGTAGGTATAAGAGTATGTATCACATAAGGTTGCTGTGGAACTAAAATATCAAATGTTTAAAACAGTGGTTATGATGTTGTAAAGGTATAATAAATGTTGGCTCTTCTTCCCATTATTTCAAAACTGTGAAGCGGCAGAACTTAACAATATGATGCTTTACAAAAGGACATGTAGCCAGGTACCCGCTTACCTTTCATAAAGAAGGGTCGAACTACTTTCCAGAGAGCTGGGTTATTGTTAAAGATGATGCCGTTCTCGTGCATGCCGATGCACTGCAGCCCAGGTTTGCTGCCGAATCGGGAGACGTAATGGCTGTGCTTCATCACGTGGAACATGCTCGAGGACCTGACCAGAGAGCAAACCTGGGTCTTAATTCCCCACGAGGACTCCTGGTGATGCACGTGGACCGTGAGGTACCCTCTTAACACATGTGTGTCCTTCACATTGAATAAGCACTTCTATTAGCATGAGAACATCCTCTCACTGATTCACTTCTACCTACTGACTCCTTGTTTGAGCATCACAAAAGCTAAAACACACACACATCATTTCTTATCTTTCTTCGCTAATCCCAAGTTATCAAAATACAACCAACTATTGGTGTCAGGGCTGCAAGGCTGTTTAGAAGCTGGACCCTCCATAGCACTACAGTCCTGAGAGCCTCCAGCCTCCCAGGTACCATCTAGCCTCACTCCAGACAGTGCCACTGCCTGCCAGAGTGAGCCACAGAACTGAGACTTACTGGCATCACCAGAGCCTTGCTTTGTTAGTTTGGAATAAGCAATTCTTCTTCTTCTTCTTCTTCTTCTTCTTCTTCTTCTTCTTCTTCTTCTTCTTCTTCTTCTTCTTCTTCTTTTTTTTGACAGGCAGAGTTAGATAGTGAGAGAAAGAGAGAGAGACAGAAAGAAAGGTCTTCCTTCCATTGGTTCACCCCCCAATGGCTGCTGTGGCTGGTGCACCACGCCAATCCAAAGCCAGGAGCCAGGTGCTTCTCCTGGTCTCCCATGCGGGTGCAGGGCCCAAGCACTTGGGCCATCCTCCACTGTCCTCCCGGGCCACAACAGAGAGCTGGACTGGAAGAGGAGCAACTGGGACAGAACCGGCGCCCCAACCGGGACTAGAACCCGGGGTGCCAGCGCCACAGGCGGAGGATTAGCCAAGTGAACCGCAGCACCGGCCAGCAATTCTTAGTACCATTCATTCCCCCAGAGTCTCTCATCAGCCCTTCTAAGTGGACAGTCATTCTGTCATTCTGAGATTGAAGGATATCTCTTTGAGTATTTCTTCTGGGCTGAGCTGGAAGGCTCATGTGGTGATAAAACAAGCTGTCTCAGGGCTCTCTCTGCATTCCATCATGAGTCATCAAGCTCTCCAGGGTCTCACATTCTATATCTCATCTCCCATCATATAGAATGTGGTAAACCATCAGAGAGTACAATTTGCATGGTACCAAATAGTGCAAATTCAAGATGTGTAAAAATGTCATCAACATTATATGTTGTGGATCCCTTATCTGAAATGCTTGGGGCCAGAAGTGTTCCAGATTTCAGATTTGTTTGGATTTTGAAATAGTCACATATATGTTATGAGATATCTTGAGGGTGAGATGCAAGTCTTAATGTGAAATTGATTTGTTTCATATGTACCTTATACATGATAGTGCACATTTTATACCATATTTTCAATAGGTTTATGTATGAAACAAAAGTTTTATGGTGTGGAATTTTCCACTGGTGGTGTCATGCCGGTGCTCAAAGTTTCGGACTTTCAGATTAAAGCTGTGCAAACCTTCTTTGTCTCAGCTGTTGTAATGTTATTTTTGGTGAACCTAGTAGTTACACAAGTTTCCATGTATTCCCTGCAACTTTGGCCCTCCCTCCCTACTTCTCCACTGAAATTTTGTTTCTCCTACTATGGTTGTTTTCAGAACTCCTAACTCATGGATAAGTGTGGCTGCTATGGGGTCTGCAACTGGTTCTCAAACTCACTTGCTCCTTCCTCTCAAGTTCAATATTTGGCTCTTAAAAGGATGACTTTGCTTTAGTGAGGTTGTTCTGTTAATCCCTGCTGAAATACATTCCCTGAGAAGACGTTAGGCCAAGAGGGCTCTCTTCTGGCTCAGTAGATTAAGCTGTGGGCTAAGGATGAGTCATATGCTCACATTTGTGATGTGTTCCATAGTCCCACTGAATACTTAAAAGCAAGCCCCTGAAATAATAGTTGTGCCAACAAATGAAAGCAGTTATCATTATGTGAAAAACCTATTTACTTGGTATTTATTTCAGGAAAAATACCCTCCTATTTTCAAATCATAAGTCAGATATTTTCTTGGTTTGATTTCTGATAATGTTCGTCAGATGATCTCAAGTTTGAGGCAAGTTTTCCTCTTCCTAGCAACAAAAATAAAAACAAACAAAAAATCAAGACGCTTCAGTTTATTTTCCAGGGAGTTACTTTAACTAACAGCTCAAATTTTATCCTATGTAGAAAAATCATGCTACCAAAAAAGGCTGAAATTCTTATTAATTAAAATAGCTGAAAACTCTAGCTTTTCTGGCCTCCCCATGCTCCATTCTGTAGTTAAAGCAGAAAGTTAGTACAGTAGATATTCTTTGTTCTCAAACTGTGTCTAAAAAATCTTACATACTGAGCAGACAAGCCGAATACCACGTTTCTGCTCTGACCCCTAGAGCATTTGTGCACTGAGTTAATCAGATTAGCATGTCCCTTTCTTTTAAAGGATTGCAAATCAGTTTTTAAAAGACAGCAAAACCAAGTGCATGTTTTGAAGAGCAAACTTTTAAAATACACGTGTCCTTTAGGGGGCACCAACATCTCAGCTATTCTGAGTCGGATGCTGGGTTTCACATAGGGCCCAAGCCCATCAGGCACAAGTGACAGAGCCAGTGAAAGTGTTACCGTCACAGAACAGCAACATAAGACAAAGTCATTTCTCAAAATGAGATTTGTTGAGGTTACCTAGCCGGAACACACCGGGGAAGGGTGAAGACCTAGGCACCAGCGGGGCCTCCTCTGTGGCTGATTGAGGGAGATGTGGCGCTGTTAGGGGAGAACGAGGATTTCTCCACACCGACAAGAGACCAACGGAGTCTCCAAGCTCAGAAGGGACAGTGAGCAATGCAAGGAGTCTGGTTGTTGGAGTTCTGCTTTTTTTTTTTTTTTTTAACAGGCGGAGTGGACAGTGAGAGAGACAGAGAGAAAGGTCTTCCTTTACCGTTGGTTCACCCCCCAATAGCCGCTGCGGCCGGTGCACCACGCCAATCCAAAGCCAGGAGCCAGGTGCTTCTCCTGGTCTCCCATGCGGGTGCAGGGCCCAAGCACTTGGGCCACCCTCCACTGCACTCCCAGGGCACAGCAGAAAGCTGGACTGGAAGAGGGGCAACCAGGACAGAATCCCGCACCCCAACCAGGACTAGAACCCGGGGTGCCGGTGCCGCAGGCGGAGGATTAGCCTATTGAGCCACGGCGCCGGCTGAGTTCTGCTTCTTTAAACCTGACTGAAGTCAAATGACAACTCTAAAGACAGCAAACCCATTGTTCACAATGAAAAGTAGGCAGGCAGTGAGCTGTTAGGTGGTAAGGAGGAAGCCACTTAAGTTCTGAGTTGCCACAAATCACACACCTGTGCTAGAAGTATAGCGGAAGCCATAACTGGAATGATTGTCATCAAACATTTAAAAACACTTGCATAGATCTATTCTGAGCCCAAGACTTAGGTTCCATCAACCCCATCGCCTCTCTACTGCCCTTTGCCCCTCTGATGGCCTCACTTATACAGCTGATGTGCTAGGGTTGTTGCAGAAGAAAAAGAACCTTTGTTTTAACAGATCCAGCTGTAGACATTCCAATCAAGAGATGGAATCTTGCAACACTACTCATGAGACAATCTGTCTTTCACCTGATGTGATTCAATATGAAGTATCTACTACTACTAATGGAGCATTCTAACAAACATGTGTAGCCTGAATCTAAATGAGCATTGAGACCTAATTTTCAGGTTACAAAAAATACGGGGAGAAGAGGACTATATGAAATGACATGTGATGAAACAACAAGATAAATTCAGAATGTGGGATATCCTACAAGACAACTGACATGGTCCTTTCCAAAGTTCCATGTTGTGAAAGAGGCTCTTTCATTTCTCCAGTTCATTTGAAAATTTCCTCAATAGAAAGTTGCAAAAGGGGCCATCATTGTGGCATAGCAGGTAAAGCCACCACGTGCAATGCAGGCATCCCCCATGAGTGCTGGTTCGTGACCTGGCTGCTTCACTTCCAACCCAGCTCCTGCTAATGGTCTGGGAAAATCAGCAGAAGATGGTCCAGATGCTTGGCCCCTGCTGCTTACCTGGGAGACTGGGAAGAAGCTCCTGGCCCCTGACTTCAGCCTGGCCCAGCACTGGCCAATGCAGCCATCTCGGGAGTGAACCAGCAGATGCAAGATTTCTCTCCCTGTCTCTACCCTTTCTTTCTGTAACTCTGACTTTCAAATAAATAAGCCTTTTAAAAACAAAGTTGGAAAAAATGATTGTGAATTATTAAGACTAAAATAATCTTCAGTGTATCCTCGAGTCCTTTGACCCTCTCCTTGCATAGTGAAACTTAACTCTGGCTAAATCCAACTCAGCTTATCCTGTGCTCATACTTGACAGCTGAACTGGACTGGGAGAAATGTGTGTGTGTGTGTGTGTGTGTGTGTGTGTGTATCTCCACCTGCCAACAGGTCTCAGTTAAAGTGAGGCCTTACTATAGCTGGCATTTCTACTACATTTCCCTTGTCTGTCCATTCTCTCACTTACAATTGACTATTATTTCCTTGCCTGTTGTTTCAGCTAAAGACTTTATCTCCTGTTTCCCTAGAGAACAGAAGTGACTAGAAGAAAACATCCCTAAGCTCCAACTACCAGGACCTGTGCCCAGATAGCCAGCCCTCCCTCCTGTAACTATGGATGAAATCCCATGTTCCTACTCAAGGATAACCCCTCGCTTGCCCCCGGGGCCCCTTCACCTCCCACCAGCATACCCCTTCTTTCTCCTTCAGCCACGATGCGCTTCTGTCACTGATCATTCTTGCCATGACTCACATACTGTAACTTCTTTCTGAAAAATCCAAACTCCTTTGACTGCACCTCCCTCTCCTGCTCCTGCCTGCTTTAGGGCAGACTCCCTCAAAGAGTTGCCCACCCTCAGTCCTTCTGATCCTCCCCCTACAATTCCCCCCAGTCAGAGTCTCACTCCCACTGTTCTTGTTGAGGTCACATAGGACCGACCTCTCTGTTGCTCAATGCAGTGCTCACTTCTCCATCCCTTCCCTGGCTCATCAGCACTGTTTGATGTGCTAGACAATTTCCTCCTTTCCGAGACATAATCTTTGCCTGGCTACCGGACCACTCTGCTCCTGGGATTTTTCCTTCTCTGCTTGTTCCTTCACGTTCTCCTTTGCTGTTTTCTGACCACTTTGCACTGGAGGGTCTCAAGGATCATTCCTCCCCACTGGACACCCCACTAAGATGTCTGGTGGACATGTCAAGTCCCCCGTGATCTTAGTCCTGACTGCTCCCCACCCCAAACTCCATTCCTCCTATCTCAGGTCACTGTGTCCTCCTCCTTCCAGATAGTTAAGGCAAAAACTGGACATGATCTTGACTCTCTCTCATACCCAACACCCAACCTGTCAAAAGTCATGTTGACGTTGCTTTCAGAATACACTGAGAATGTCACCTGGACCAGCTACCACCATCTCTTGCCTAAGCGCTCTTTCTGTTCCCCTCCCTTGTCCCCTTAACCATCTCTCCTCAACAGAGCAGCCAGAATTATTCTGCTGACTTGTGGATGAGTCATCTATGTCGCTCAGACTCTTCAGTGGTTTCCCATCTCATGCAGGGTAAAACACAGACTTGTCACAGTGTGAGATCTGGTACCTTGGTGCCCCTCAGATCTCATTGCCACTGTTGTTCCACAACAAGGTATCCTTGTTGTTTCTTGAACATTTCAGACAGGTTCCTGCCTCAGGGCTTTTGCACAACTATTCCTTCAACCTGGAATGCTTTCTCTCTAGATCTCTGCATCTCTCACTTCCCCATTTCCTCTTTTTGTCTTTTAAGATTTTATTTATTTATTTGAGAGAAAGAGTTACAGACTGTGTGTGTGTGTGTGAGAGAGAGAGAGAGAGAGAGGTCTTCCTTCCGCTAGTTCTCTCCCCAAATGGCCGCAACGGCCAGAGCTGTGCCAATCCAAAGCCAGGTCTTCTTCCTGGGGCCCGAGCACTTGTGGCTTTCCCAGGCCACAGCAGAGAGCTGGATTGGAAGAGGAGCAGCCAGGACTAGAACCAGAGTCCATATAGGATGCCGCCATCGCAGGCGGAGGATTAATCCACTGTGCCATGGCACAGGCATCCTCCCTCCCCATCCCCATTTCCTTTGGGTCCTTATTCAAAGGCTCTCTTGTCAATGAGGCCTGCCTTGATCACCTGTTTATGATTGCATCCCCATTCTTACAACTGGTCTTCCCGTACCCCTTCCTTCTCTTTTTACCTGTTTGGCATAAACCTCCTGCAAACAGCATGACCAGCCATCCTGGTTTGCCTGAGACTGTCCTAGTTTTAGCACTGAAAGTCCTACATCCTAGGAAGCTGCAAATCTGAGAGAGCAAACTCAGACATTTGGTTACCCTGCTGCGCTACTATGTATTTTACTGGTTCATTGTTAGCATCTCAACAGCATATCACTCCATGAGGATGGGGATTTTTGACTAACTTGTTTCCCAAAATAACAATACTGTATTCCTAGAGCCTAGAACTGTACTTGTATACATGGAAGTTCCCAATAAATATCTATTTAATGAGTGAATGGAGAGCCGGTAATGACTCTTATAACTTAGGGTCATCTGAGGCTTAATCCATAATAAATTCTCAATAAATGTATGCTGAAACCATAACTGAATCCTCTATAAATTTATATACACATAATTTAAGATGTGCATGTTAATTAATTGGTGATTCTCCTTTTTTGCGGATGCTACTTGATTTGTTTCCTATTTATGACAAAACTAACATACATGTATGGAGTGGGCATGTAGTATCTTACATGGCATCTGAAGACCCTCGTTAATTTAGAGTGTGGCTGCCTGGGGGAACTGTGTGCATTTTATCAGCAGATAGCCAGAGCCTTCCCTGCAAGTCCCCAGGTTATTCGGGCAGCATCCTGAAGGCACTTGTGCCTGACTTGCACCCCTGAAGTTCAGCAGTGCCTACCACTCCGGGTCTAAGCTGGTTGGGAAAGTTGGGCCGTGATATCTACACAGTTACAAAGACTAGAGACCTCAAACTTTTCAAAAAGAAAGAGAAAGAAATCTGGCAAACTCTTCAAATAAAGTAAAAAAGCTTTCCGAGGTTCAACAGGGTCTTTTCAAGAGGTACGGGTAGTCCTGGAAGGGACTTGAAGAGCAGACAAGGAAAGGAGATGGGGACAAACATGTCCTATCCTGCAGGGAGCCCAGCTTTTAACAACAAAATTGAGCAGCTCTGAAGCAATTAAAGAGAACACAAAGACCCCAACAAGTGAAAAGCCTGAGAGGACAGGACAAGAAAAGAACTGGGAGAGCTGGGTGAAGGGCAGGAGGTTGTGTCCACGTCTGTGTGTGCATCAGTGCCTGACCTGGTCAGGGTTGCTAAGGGCACTTTCCCAATTAAGACAAGCAAAACGGTCCGATGCCATCCTGACTCTAATGAATATCCTACCTCAGGAACTGTCGTTAGCATCCAGGGAATTTATCTGGTGACCTCAGTATCTAATACCAAAGTGTGTAGTACCTAAGAGGGCGTTCTCCCCTGGTGCTCTGGTCCTTTCTCAAATCCATCGTTCTTCACTCCAGTTGTAGTCTGTACCACCACCACCTGAGCTAGAATCAAGGGCAGTACAATAAGACAAAACCTCTCCAACCCTGCCTAGCTGTTTCCTGTTAACTCCACGGAAAGACACTCCACTCTCTCTAGATGGAAACTTCTCCAGCTCCGCAGTGCGCTGGAATTACCTGGAAGCTTCAAACGCTGCTGATGCTTGGGCTCCACTCTCAGAGGCTCCGATCTAAAAGGCAGGGGGAGGTGTCATGGTACAACAGGGTAAGCCACCTCTTGGGACACTTGCATCCCGTATCAGGGTGCTGGTTGTAGTCCCAACGTCTCCATTTCCAATCCAGCTTCCTGCTAATGCCCACTCAGGAAGGCAGCAAATGGTACAAGTGCTCAGGTGCTTGGGTCCCTGCCACCCACATAGGAGACCCAAATGGAGTTCCAGGCTCCTGGCATCAGCCTGGCCCAGTTCTGATCATTGTTGCAGACATTTGGGGGAGTGAGCCAGCAGATAGAATATATCTTTCTCCTCCCTCCCACCTCTGCCTTTCAAAAAAAATTTTTTTTTTAAAAAAACTCCCTGGGGTGACTGCTATCTAGCCAGATGACAACTACCTAGCCATAGTGAGAACCACAGCTGTAGATCTGGGATGCAGGTTGGTTCCTTCTGGATAACTATCCTGAGGCTTATATCACCTGTCTGCTGTGGAAAACAGCCGGGACACTGATAAGAAAGCTGAATGCTGAGCTGAGGTCAGGAAGGCAGCCCTGCTATGCTGGGAGGTGAAAAAGCAGGAGAGAATGTCCCAAACCCAAACACCATCTGCTCCAGGACATTTTTGAGGCCATAGGTAGTTGTAAAAATGACTGAAATTCTGATTTTTAAGATGAGAACATATTAAGAATAGATAAAAATCTGCTTAAACTTGGCTGTGCAGAGCTCACTAGACCAGGAAAAGTCAAATCAAACAGTAGTTATGATCTAATCATCGGAGCAGTGGTTCTGAGCCTCCAGAGAGCTCAGCATCACCTGCAGGCATGCTCAAGCGCAGGCTGTGGGGCCTGCCCCCAGTCTTTCTTAGGTCAGGGCAGAGCCCAGGAACATGCATTTCTCAGTGCCCATGTTCATTGCTGCCGCTGATCAAGGGAGCACACTAGGAGCACCACAACATTAAGAGAATTTCACGTGACCTTAGTGGAAAGACGTTTCTGTCTGTGCATTTTATGCTTAGCTGTATAAACAGGTTCTGCCCTAGCTGTTCTTAAAACTGTCACAGCACTAAACTGAACAAAACGAAGATCTAGGCAGAAAGTGAGGTATTGGATAGAACCAGAATAACATTGCTGGATAGTTTGAAATACTTGGAAGCATTACATGTTGGATTTTTTTCCCCCTGCTCCCTTCTTTCCATATTAGCTTTAAAGAATTAGGCTTTGATGTCACCAGGGTATTTTGTGAAATGATGCATGTAATCTTGGCCTGGAAAAAAATCATGTCAATTCCAGAAATGCTTCACTTAACTTTTGAGCAATAGTCTACATATGTATCTCAGTGGAGAAATCTTTACAAATCAGTAACGCTTCCTGGTTTGCTTTTGTTTGTGGGTAAAGCTCTGTCTGGGACTAGAAATATAAAAATCCTATTAATGAGAGAGTGTTGGCAGACACTTTACTAAAAGTCTAGTAAAGACACCTGAAAATCGCGTGAAATATGCCTTCTTTGAAGTGCTCCAGCTTCTGCAATCAGTAATCAATAAATAAGGAAGCTAGTATTTCATAAAGCTGCTTCTTCATGGTATATTACATATTCCCTAGAGTAAATTCAGTCTGCTAAAGTTATCCAGCAAATATGACCACTCAGAGAGGGAGGATACCACTTGTTTTCCCCAGCGAGCAATGCTGTTGCTGATTTATTTATTTAAGATTGCTCAGCCGGGACACTGGTTTGCAGTAACAAACAGAATGGCAGCATTGGATGGCTTCTCTTTTGGAGGTACTCAGGGGCTGACATTAGAAACTTTTATCTAGTTGGGGGTCACAAAACTTTGTCACAGTTTTGGGTTTTGAATGTGTGTGTGTGTGTGTGTGTGTGTGTGTGTGGCACACGTTTAATGCTTACTTGTAGAGTTAAGACCAAAATCTTAGGAAAGCAGGAAAGATACCACCCTGCCCTTAAAGTCTGTTTTGCCAAAATCAAATCATCTGGATTCTCAGTTTCCACATTCACTGCTTAGAGAAATGTTAAATGATTTCTCGGCTTGCTAGAGTTCTTGATCTATGTACCTCTGACTTCAATTCAAGTGAAGCCTAATTATTCTGTTTGTTTGTTGTGTTTGTGTTTGATTTTTACCTGAGAACAATTTACCTTCATTTCAACAGTAAGAACATTTCCTTAGAAACTGCTAGGACAAATTTAAAAAAACAGGACCCCGCCTTGGTTTTGAAAGCATGTCTCTGATTATTACAGACTCACTTGCTGATAATGAGTGTTTCCTCTCCACATATCCAGACCCTCATGAATTCTCCATACATCTTGTTGTAATAGTTGCAGGCGCTGCCGATCCCCATCCACAGGAATCTGGCGTAGGAAATGAGGGGACCGATTCCCATACAGTAGCCAGGACCTAGGAAAAGTCATCACATCGCAGTCAACATCTCAGCCACATCAGATGTAACAACTGCTCTAAGGGACCACTGATTTTGGTCTTTTCGATCTAACTGCTCTCTGCATCTTCTGATGTATACCTGTGGATCACGAATATAGTGATTTACCTCAAAATAAAACAAGCTTAACATGAGGTTCTTCACCCCTCCATGAAGGTAAAGTAGTTCAGTGTGCACCTGATCCTCATTCGGCTTGGTCTCAGTCTGAATAAACTTGGATACATGTTAACCTCCTCCTGTGTGTTTTTTGTTTTCCTTTTTTGACAGGCAGAGTTAGACAGTGAGAGAGAGAGAGACAGAGAGAAAGGGCTTCCTTCCGTTGGTTCACCCCCCCAAATGGCCACTACAGCCGATCCGAAGCCAGGAGCCAGGTGCTTCCTCCTGGTCTCCCATGCGGGTGCAGGACCCAAGGACTGGGGCCATCCTCCACTGCCTTCCCGGGCCACAGCAGAGAGCTGGACTGGAAGAGGAACAACCAGGACAGAACCGGTGCCCCAACCGGGACTAGAATCCAGGGTACCGGCGCCACAGGTGGAGGATTAGCCTAGTGAGCCGTGGCACCCGTGTTAATGAGTTTCAAATACAAGTCAGTTGGTTGATCTGGCAACAAGTGTGGAAACTGTTTGGCTGCCTGGTTTCCTCTGACAACTTTTGGTTGAATGCCCCAGTGGACAGAATGAGCGGGTTAGAACTGGGTCATAGTTTTGGAGTAATCAGTTTAACTGAGAGAAATAAGGTCTGCAAAGATAATGTCCAATCTAAGAACAGCCATTTCTTCTTTTCCCCTCAAAAGGACTCAGCATAAAGGAGTCTTGAACTAAATTTCACCAGGCAAAGTAAAGCTGAGCTGAGCAGTTGGGCAATGAGTCTGCTCAGTGTCTAGACTGGGATGTGAGTCCTGCCGTCTATTTTAGTCAAGAGTGTGGCCATGCATATCTGTGCTTACGAAGACAAGGGCAGAACTGTAACAAACAAATACAGGAAACAAGGCGGGGGGAATTTGATGTAAAGTTGTAGTTTTTCTAAGTCTTTCCCTTTAATTCCATTCCGTCAGGGAGATGGTTACAAAGCCTGAACACATCAAACTGTATGAGCCAGCACATGCGCCCCTGGACAAGAGCTGTGTCATAATCTGGGAAGTGCAAGCTTTAACTAGAACCTCTGAATGGGATGTTTAATCCCAAATTGAACAATGTTGTCTTTTACTTTGCAAAGCTGATAAGACAAAGACTGTTGGCTCTGATTTTTTTCCATTGGGGGAAGACCTTTGTTAATAGCCATAAAACCAAAATATTGTCAAAGAGTTGTGAATCTTTTGATTGTTTTAATATCTATTTTATACTGCAGATGACTGACTTTACTTTAAAATAATTCCATGGAGTTCTTGAAAAGATTTAAACAAGCAGATTTGATTGCGTATGTATTTCCTTAAAATGGTACCAGATACTCCAACTTTTAATCAACTAAAATATGCATAATAGCAAAATGCCACACAGGGTATTTGTAGCTTGGCACATTGTAAATGCTCAAGTAATGTTTCTTGAATGATTATTTAAGTTTATATACATATAATAAAAAGGATTAATTTTAAAATGCTATCCTTATTTGGGGTATTTTAGGCTATATTTACATTTAATACAAAACAGTCCACGTGAGGTCAAACATCTGGTTATATTTGAGAATAAGTTTATTCAATGAACAATCACATATTTCATAGGCCAGGCCTGTGGGGAACAAAGACAAACAAAAGGATGCACTTTTCATCTTGTATATAAAAGTTTGATGCCATGTAGAGATCTTAATATTTGAGAGGCAGCTTCAAACTTATGGTATGACCGTAGAGACCTGTATCTAACTGAAACAGAAAGAATGAAATGAACCCTGTGCTTAGGTTGACAAGCTAGGTGTTCTGACCAGAAGAGAACCAGAGCTGTAGGTCCTTAGAGAGCAACTGAATGTCAGCTTAATTTATACGACAGATGCTTACTGAGATTCTATTGCCAAGTTAGGGATGGCGATATTTTAAGAATAAGGGTCCCCATTACAGTCTCAAGACCAGAGAGGAGAGGATGTGAAAAATAATTACACAACCAAATAATTACAACACACTTACATGCACATCCTAGACCATCTGGATGGAGAAAAGAATGCTCCAGGAAAGGAGAAACTTGGTAAGATACTAGAGAAGTATTCTGGTTGCATCCTCATTAAGCTGTGCTTGCCTCTCAGGTTTGGGAATGCTTATTATCTAGGCATGCAGTGATTATGGGAGCCTCTTTCACACCCTCTGAGGGGCAGTAAATACTTCACTGCATTTTTCTTCAGAGACAGCCTCCTTGAAGCCGACAGCTGGGACTTTTCAAATTGTTGCATTCCCCACGGAGGTATACACCCTAGAGAAACCCACAGACAGCTGTTGTTCACAGCTGCACCTAACTGGAGATACCCCAAACACCCATCACCTGCAGAACTGCATAGATGATTCTTATAAATTTGCTAGATATGCCAGCTAGCAAAAAAAGCAATGAAGAAGAATAAATAATGGATGGTTGTTTGCTGAGATGTTCAAAACCACGCAGAATTAAATATAGTCTGTGGGTGTGAAAGTAGGTGGCGAATCTATAAAAAAGCAAGGGCGTGACTGGTGCAGAAGCCAGGAAATTTGACCTCCAAGAGTGAGGGAGAGCGCGTGGTTGAAAAGGCAGACATGGAGCTTCTGGGCTGCTGCTGACGCCCTGATTCTGTGCTGTACCGCGGCGGGAGATTTATCATCACACGGTGCACTTTCCTGTGAGATATGTTCTTAATGGGAAGAAGAGGAATGTGTTTCCCTTTTTCCCAGCGCTCTGCTCTGGAGGGAGAGGACCTGTGTTCAAGGTTGGGATAGCTGTGCGTCCTTGGGGAAGGGAGAGCCGCCAGGTGTCAGGTAACTGTGAGTCCTGGACAGAGATCAGTCGCGTTGGAACCGTTTCCCCCGCCAAACCACTCTTTCCTCCCCCAGACTCTCACGGCCCCCTCCCTGGGGCTCAGTCATCTGCCCACGTCTGCCTCTGCTGCTTTGCCTCATCCATATTATTCCCACCAGGGCAGAAACGGCGTCTCATTCCTCTTTGCATACCTCTCACCCCCAGCATCTGATGCAGTGGGACTTCCCAGGAAGCAGAGGGGAAGAAGCTTCGTGTTGAGTCCCCATTGCATCATTTGCTAGCTGAGGGACATCTACTCTGAGTCGCAATTTCTTCTACAAAATAGGTATAAACACACCAACCTCACCAGAGAAAACGGGCAAGAAGTTGTCTTGCAAATGGTAACTTACTGAAGGGCTTTGGTCATTCTACCTTCTTAACACCCTTTGGCTTTTGCTGACCCTGAGCTTCTGCCAAACCTGCAGAATCAAGGACCCCCAGAGAGCCAATGACTCCAGGGAGTGAGCAGAGGAGCTCAGGAGTACTGGTCAGCAAGAACCGCTGGATCAAGGCCAACTCTCTCCTCTTCCCACCATCATCAGGAACTACAAGAGCTCACAGCCTGAGCCACTAGAGAAGGCTGGCAGAGCTCAGGTTTTCAAGGGGACAGCATGTCATTAGGAACTCCCCGGTTAGCAAAATTGACAGCTTCTAAGTTGTCCCCTTCTACTCCTTCCAGCTTGCCTTCCTGCAAGGGAGCCGACAAGCCGCTTCCCTCCCGGGATAGAATCCCCACCCATAAATGAGGAGCTTGAGCTCCATACCTCTCAGACTTGCTGTAACACTTCACCTGGGCAAGGCAGATCACCTCTCTGGGCCTCAGCTTCCTTTCCTGTTAAATGGAAAGGTTGGCTGCTCTCTATGGCTCTCGACCATGGCTGCTCTTAGAAAATCATTTGAGGAGCTTTAAAAATATACGTATCAGCCCTGGAGGCCTCCCCAAGACAGGACTGGGAACACATGCTCATGTGACCTAATTCCTGGTGTATGGCAGGACTGAGTCTCTGATCCGGAAGCAGTGCACAGAGTTGAGTGCTATCCAGGCTCCTGCCCCAGTGCCCAGTTCCCATGCTTGCCAGCCTCCTCACTCAAGGGCTTAAGAGATTTCCACAATTGCTTGTAGCATAAGCATCCAGGCTGGAGGAGGGGAGAGGGTGCTTATTAAAGAAACGGACATTTCTAGGCCTGCAGCATGATATAGAAAGCCTGGGGCAGGGTCCATGGATCTGGGATTTTAACAAGTTCCCACCTCCTGTGTGGTTCTTTATATATACAGAAAATTGAGAACCTGTGGCCTACTGGATGGGCAAAGCTGAGTTCCCTCTCCTTTCAAGACTCTGATAACACAGGTCAATTGGACTATAACATCTGAGCCTATGACAAGGAAGAGGAGGGAAGGCATTCCACTCCCCCTTCTGAATACCCACCACACCCCTACCAGTCACTGACCCTGACCGAGGAGCCCACAAAGAAGAAGAGAGATCTAGTGAGGAAGGGGCAGCCCTGGGGAACGGAGTTCAACTTCAAGACCATGGAAGAGTCTTCCCTCAGCTCTGAGCACCCCTCTCCTGGAGCTGACCCCATCAGGGAGCAGAGAACAAAATTAACTAAATGTTCCATTGAATTGGATATTAAAGTAGTCTAAAATATCAGGCTGAATTGGCCAGAGAGGCAGGCAATTATCTGGAAAATTTTAAAGGGATCCAGATACACAGAATTCTGTGCCCGCCCCATTTTTCCATTCGCAAACACCTGCAATGAGGCTCAGCACACGTGGAAGTAGGCAAGTCCTGTGCCCTTGAAATGCATAATTACTGTATATCTCACAGAATGGGAAGGAAATTTCACTGAAAACTAAAGTGACAGTCTGAAATGTCTGACACTGAGTTGTCTGACATTTGTCAAATATCACCCATTAGTGGTAGAATGGGAGGGTGTTTTGTTGTTATTGTTGTTGTTAGAATTATCTGGGTAATGATTTTATTCCTTCCTCTTGATTGGGCTATAGGCCTCGTTGAAAATTCTAACAGAGGCCGATATTCCAAGGGAACCACAGTGGTGCCCATTCTTCTCTCACTGCGCAGGTCTCCTGCAACCCTTACGGTGGCTCTGGCATGACCACCTCACTCCTTAGGAGAGAAAAATGCAGAGTGGGATGAAGAGAAGAGACAAATACAAGAAAGGGAGAGGGTGTGGATGCAGCAAAGTGGGAGGGAGAGGGAAGTGAGTATAGGAGGCATTCCAGAGATATTTTTGCCTTCAGAGCAAAAATTGGAAAGAATTTTAATCTGTTTCTTAAAAAATTAGCCAAAATCCCTAGAATTTTACCTTGTTCCACCCCATCTCAAGCTTGTTTTAAAGGGCACTCATGCCAAGACTATTTTAGCAAAGCAGACTGCAGAGTGGAAGGGATTGTTTAAGCAATTTAAAAATATTTTCATTTAAATATGCAGATAATTGGGGTAGAAATGTTCACTTGAAGTCCTCATTTGCTAACACAGTGGTGGTCTTTGAGATCTTCCTGGGTTTGCTCTTTGTCCTTTTGCAAAATTTTCTTTGCCATCGTAGACCAAAAGCCCCAGTAAATAGTCTTTTCAGACACAGACATAGACTGTCTTACCTGGTATTGAGGACGTGCCCTCGTAATTCCATATCAGGAGGAGAAAGCAGGTGAGCAGCAGGATGGGCATGGTAGCAGCAGGCATGGCGGCAGGCACCATGGTGGTGATGTTAAAGTGCATTGGGTTCAGCATTTCCAAAACCATCGTGTGCTCTTTGGCTTCAGATGAAGCAACTTAAAGTCCTGTGGAAATTAAAGGGGCAGAAAAATTGAAGAATCTCCTCTAAGGTGCATCTATGACTCCTGTCGTCTCAGGGGATACTGTACTGAAAGGATTGGCGCTTTGTTTTATAGTGCGGTTGGACACTCAGACAAGACAAATTTGTGGTTACAAGTCAAAACAAACAAGCCCAAGAGAGATCTTTTGGCTGAAAGTGCAGCATTTCTGGCCTTGGTAGAATCTCAGGTTCATTTAGACACTTGTTCTGATAGAACCTTATCTTGCCCTTGAGTGAGTAGAGTGACGTGCATTCCCAATTGAGAGCCAAACTTCTTACCAAAATATAAGAAACTGAAGCTCATTTCAGAGGTGGAATCATTTTGTGACTTTATCAGTAGGTTTTGTTTAGACAATCTTCTTCCCTTGAAACCAAATCAATTCAAACAAACAAACAAACAGACAATTCCCTAACTCCCTGGCTTGTACAAAATCAGCAAAATTGATCCTCTCCCCACCCCCAAGTAGTAAGTTTCTACAGCAGGAACACATTTCTTGAGCGTTGTTGTTGTATTCTCATGGCCTCCCATTAGGCTGTCTGTTGAATTCAAATGGACTCACTTAGTTCAATCTTTCTCTGTCGCTTGGATGAGGGTCTGAAATCTCTTGCGCCAGAGGCTGGAGTGTCCATGGAGGCCAACACTGGAGGGAGTGGGCAGAAAAAGAATGAGGGAGGAAGAATAAAGGGAGAAGAGAAAGAAACAGAATGGGGAATGAGAAAGAGAGAGAGAACAGGCAGAGTAGGATGCGGCCAGCAGTAAGCCCAGTGCTCCAGAGGAACCTCATCCCAAGGGCAGCCAACGTCCTGTGTAAGACAACCAGTTTTCAGTTTGATTTGCTGGCTCTGCTGTGTTTTTCAACCGGCTTTCCAGCCAGATTTTGTAATACCTTTGCTCTCGGAAGAGTATTTCGGGAATGGTAGTTTGCCATTGACGAGGCCTGGGTTGAACAAACTGTACAGTGAGGTAAGAAGCAGCATTCTGTGTTTTCTGGTGGCACGTCACAGGCTCCGAAGTTTGCCTTTTCTAGGAAAGTGACCACAGTTTTGAGGACCTGTGATGGCTCTGAAGCAGACCTTGGGTGGGTTTTCTCCCGAAATAAAAATTCTAGATTCAGTAGCCAGGGCTTCTACTTGGATTTCAGAGGCTCTGTGACTCCCCTACGATGTTTCATGAAAGGTACCTGCTCAGGTACACTTTGAAGGGAGAGAGACCATAACTTTCCCTAGATGCCTAAGGAGTGTGTAATTCTGTTTCTCCCTCATCTGTATGAGACCTTACACATCTAAACATATACCAGTGTCTCACTACTACAGAAATTTCCCTGTACAGTTGAATTCATTAAATTACTTCAGTGTTTTGTTGACCCATTTCACCATGCACATAATCATTAACACATAAGTGCTAGGTTCTGAGAATGCCCACACCCATGTTGGGCAATTTTGATTTTTTTTCTACTACAGGAGGGGTCTTCAAAAATACATGGAAAATGCACTTTTATGAAAAGACTATGCAGAGATTTTTGGTACTAAAATAAACTTATCTTTTAATTCCACTTTCTGCAAACTTTTTGAAGTGCCCTTGTATGTAAGTTGAAACTGAAAGTCAGCATTGTGTCTGTTACATTCTGGTTGCCTTATCAATGAGCAGCTACTTTCAACAAGCTGAGTTGTTCTGTTACGTGTCTAATTTCCAGAGTTGCATTTTACATCATTCTGAGTAAGCTCTGTGTGACGTTCTGACAGCTGCAATCCTTGCAGTTTCTGTTTGTACTGATAAAAGCTGACACCAGTGTTAAAAACACAGATGAGGGGCTGGCGCTGTGGCATAGTGGATAAAAGCCACCACCTGCAGTGCCAGCATCCCATATGGGCGCCTGTTAGAGTCCTGGCTGCTCCACTTCCAATCCAGCTCTCGGCTATGGCCTGGGAAAGCAGTAGAAGATGGCCCATGTCCTTGGGCCTTTGCACCTGTGTGGGAGACCTGTTAGAAGCTCCTGGTTCCTGGCTTTGGATCGGTCTAGCTCTGGTCATTGTGGCCAGCTGGGGAGTGAACCAGCAGATGGAAGACTTCTCTCTCTGTTTCTGCCTCTCCTCTCTCTTTGTAACTCTTTCAATTTATTTATTTATTTATTTATTTGACAGATAGACAATGAGAGAGAGAGAGACAGAGAGAAAGATCTTCCTTCCATTGGTTCACCCTCCAAATGGCTGCCACAGCTGGGGCTACACTGATCCGAAGCCAGGAGCCAAATGCTTCTTACTGATCTCCCATGTGGGCTTAGGGGCCCAAGCACTTGGGCCATCCTCCACTGCCTTCCTGGGCCACAGCAGAGAACTGGAACGGAAGAGGAGCAGCCAGGACCAGAACCTGGCACCCACATGGGATGTCGGTGCCACAGGCGGTGGATTAACCAAGTGAGCCATGTTGCTGGCCCCAATAAATAAGTTTTTTAAAAAACCACACAGATGAGAAAAGTGATTATGGCAAAAAGGATGAAGATGCCCAAAGGAGGTGATGCTGGCAGAGAAGTCACATTAAATGAACTCAGATATTTTACAGGATTGAAACTGCAAAGTGAAAGGATGCTGGAAACTGATGCAGATTTACAAAGAAGTGTGACAACTCACCGAGACACACAGAGGATGCTCCCTCAGCGTCCTGGGATACAGACACAAAGAGAAGAAAGCAAAGACAACTTCTTTTCAAATAGTCTAGATAACTTCACTTTTTTTTTTTTTTTAAAGATTTTATTTATTGGAGAGGTAGAGTTATAGACAGTGAAAGAGAGAGACAGGGAGAAAGGTCTTCCATTCACTGGTTCACTCCCTAACTGGCATCAACAGCCGGAGCTGTGCCGATACAAAGCCAGGAGCCAGGAGCTTCTTCTGGGTCTCCCACATGGGTGCAGGGGCCCAAGGAGCAGCCGGGACTAGAACCGGCGCCCATATAGGATTTTACCATTTTCCTATTCTTACAAATTATGGCAAGAGGGGCTTTGAATGTTTTGACAAAAAATGTAAAAAGTCATAATCATATTTTTTCTTGATCTTTAAGATTGCTTTGCACAGTTTCAGCTTGCATAGTCATTTTCTCAGTCCTGCACTACCGTGCAATGTGAGACTATATGTCTAATGTTTAAAGGGGCTAAGTAGCTTGTTTCCTTATCTTTCTTGAAAGTATATCATAAAGACCATCCCTACCCCTGACACACACACACACAAAAGAACGCTAGTTAAAGATTCCAGAGGGTAAGAATTCTAGCATTTAAAAAGTACTTGCTGTATGTCAGACATTGTTCTTAGTTTGTGAATATTAAATCAGTCATCCTTACAGCTTTGCCCCCGTTTTACAGATCGGAAAACTGTGGTATGAGAAGGTTGTGTGTGACAGAGCTGAGATTGGAGGCCAGGTGGTCTGCCTTCAGAGCCCAGGCTGTTAAGCAGGCCATTTTGTTGCCTATTATTGAATTAATTTGGTCTGTATGTTCAAGAACTTTTCATTTATTTATGTTCATTCCTAAGCTGTTTAGAATGACTCACTTTAAAGGATTAAGCTTATAGGCCTCTGAATGACACAGCTGGAGAGGCTGAGAGTCTCTTCTCTTTGCACATTGATTTTCCAGTTCAGTAGAACATTCTACTTTTCAGTTTTCTATTTTTTTTAAAGATTTACTTGAGGCCAGCGTTGTGGCATAGTGGGTTAGGCCACAGCCTGCAATGCCAGTATCCCACATGGGCGCCAGTACTCCCTGCTAGTGCACCTGGGAAAGCAGTGGAAGATGGCCTAAGTAATTGGGCCCCTGCACCCATTCGAGAGAACTGCATGGAGCTCCTGGTTCCTGGCTTTGGTCTGGTCTAGACATAGCTTTTGCAGTCATTTAGGGAGATAGAAGATCTCCTTCTCTCTGTCTCTCCCTCTCTCTCTCTGTAACTCTGCCTTTCACATAGTTAGAAAGGGAGAGGGAGAAACAGTGAGAGATCCTTTATTTGCTGGTTCACTCCCCAATTGGTTGTCATGGCCAGGGATGGGCCAAACTGAAGGCTGGAGCAAGGAGTCAGGAGCTTTATCTGGGTCTCCCATATGAATGACAGGGGCCCAAGTACTTTGGCCATCTTTTGCTGCTTTCCCAGGTGCAGCAGGGAGCTGGCTAGGAAGTGGAGCAGCTTTGACGCTAACAGCTACCCATACGGGATGCTAGTGTTACAGGCAGCAGATTAACTTGCTATGCTGCAACACAGTTGTCTATTTTTTAATTTGAAAGGCAGATAGTCAGAGAGAAACAGAAATAGAGAGAATTTCAGTCTACTAGTTCACTCCCTAAATGCCTCCAACAAACAAGGCTGAGGCAAGCTGAAGCCAGGAACCTGGAACTCAGTATGGGACTCTCAGGTTAGGGCCAGGGACCCAAGTACTTGAACCATCACCTACTGCCTCGCAACGAATGTGTTAGCAGGAAGCCGGAATTAGGAGAAGGGATGGGACTCAAACCCAGGCATCCCAAGTGGCATCTTGCCTGCTATGTCAGATCCCTGTCCCTTGGTAGAACATTCGGATGGCCCACGTGGACAGGTTAAACAGAAACCTTTGAATAGTGGTATAGGAATGTAGGAAGGTCCTAGAACACTACAGAGGTTGCATGTATGTCTGCTGTGCCAGAAATACCCTCCTTTCACCCCAAACACACACACATGCACATAGAGCCTTCAAGTGCTATGCATCTTCAAGGACCATCTTAAATGTCTCCACAGCCCCACGAAGTCACCCCCTCAGGTCCTGCCGTTGTAATTTGCAGGAAGGTCTCTGTGCACTCAGGCACCTGTGCCGGCTCTGCCCCCAAGCAGGGTCCTGGCTACCTAATGTACGAGACCTGTGCTTCCATGCCGTGGGAGTCACAGATGCCCCCGACTGTAACTCTGTCACTTAATGTCCCATCAAGCTCCCAGTAAAGAAATGTCAACCCTACAGCCAGAGCCCTGTGGGGATCCAGTAGTGCCTAGTTATCTTGGTGACCTTGGTGTCAGAACACATCCTGGGCCCCACAGTGCCATGAGGGACCCCTAGACTCCCCGGTACAGCCCTGATATCCTGCAGGGAGTGAGGCAGGGCCTTGCCTTGCGGAAGTGTTGCTCAGTCTGGCCAGACCCTCCTCAATCCTGTCTTTCCACGTGGGAGCAGTCTGTGCAGCAGGCAGATGGACGCAGCAGCCTCGGGTGTGAGGGCAGGGCGCCCAGCTCGCCCTCCTCTCCTGCTCTCTGGCTTACCTGGTCCATCCCTCTCTCGTGTGTCTCCACCAGCCACCTTGGTTCTCCTTGCTGCACTTTTGCCTTTGGTTCCCCACGGAGGGGCTGACTCCTAGAGCTACCACTAGAAAAAGTATAGGGCCGTAATCCAGAAATAGACAGTCTTGACCACTATAATTCCAATTGTCAAAAATCCCAAAAGATCAAAATATAATTCTGAAAATACAACTCTGGAAAGCAATTTTAAACTCTTTAAAAGACATTTATTTACATTTTAAAAGAGAGTCTTGTTTATGAGAAACATAAAAACATGACAGAACACTTCTTGGTCAGTTTACATGATAAAACAGATAATGATAGCAGGTCTTTTTTTTTGTTTTTTGTTTTTTGTTTTTTGTTTTTTTGTTTTTTGTTTTTTGTTTTTTGTTTTTTTTTTTTTTGCAAGCCTAAGCACCCAGATCTACTAACATCAGGCACAAAAGGGTAACAGTTACGAGCAGAGGAACCATATTCGCAAGTAGGTCAAAAAGCAATATGCATAAACGCATATTACCTGTGGTCATTTGAAATACCGTGATGGACAACCCAAGTCTTTGGGTGAGATCGTTTAAAAAATGCAGTTGGTTACTGTTGCATATGCAGATACGCAAACAGCTGGGTTTTAAGAAATTTTATCTTTCACAAATGCAGATGTACACAAAGGACATCTCTTCATTTATTGAAGAAGTTTCCATGCTTTTGCATACATGTCCAGTGCCTACAAAGTCAGTGTTACAATGAACTTCCACAGAGTCAAATTTGCAAAAAATACATAAAACAAGTTAGAGCACTCTAAAAGTCTTGTGTGTGTGTGTGAGTGTGTGTGTGTATGTGTGTGTATCCCCAGTACTGGAAATGTTGCAAACATGAAATGCATAGCATATCAAATTGTTTTTTTAAAAAAGTTTAAAATAGTGGGGGAAAACCAGACATAGGAGAATACCCTGAAAACTAGAATGCCTAAAAGGAAAATTCAACATAGGAAAAAGTGTAATACGGAGTAGTGGAGTAGTCATGGCCAGTTACATAAAGGTAGTGTATAGGAGCTGTCCAGCTTTTACCATCCTTATCTATGTTCTGAAGTCTTGCATTGTGATAGTAATTTTTTTTGGTAGGGCATGTCTGCTCAAAAAATAGGTTCACATTCCTTTTCTATGTGGAGCTGCTCTTTTTGAAATTCTGTGATTCCATACGCACCAACATGAGCATTCCCTATTAGATTCCCCCATCTGCTGTGCTGTGCTCCTGTGTTTTGAGTATGTGGAAATCTACCCCTCAGGCACTTAGACAGAGCTCAGACTTGGTGGGAACAACACTGGTGATGGAACAGCATTGCCAATTGTGTGTCTGCTTCTTCTACCATGCACGTAATTATTTTCAAGCCAATGAATAACTTCAGGCAAAAATGACTTCTATTTGTTAAAAGCTCCCAGGAATTTCCTCAGCTGGACTTGATGCCAATGTAGACAAATGATGCAAATTCTACTTTCTACTCTCCCTATCTATAAGCCTTTTATGTTTCCCTGGGAATTGTAGTTTGGGGGATTTTAGGATTCAGGGTTTCAATATTCGGCATTTAAGCCTTTGAGATGGTGATTTTGAGGATTTCAGACTTCAGGGCTTTTGGTCTTTCAGGATTTCAACACTCTGGACTATGGTGGTTGGGATCGTGTTGCTCAGGATTGTGACAGCGCTGCACTAAAAAACAAAAGCTGATGTGACTTTGACTCCCAGGTGCTGGCAGGGTCTTAGAGAGGAAGCTGTAGACCCTTATTTGTTCCCCCAAGCAGGTGAGAAGGTCCAGCTGGGGACGGGAAGGCTTGTGGCTATTGAGAGTGTTCTCGGGGGCTGGCGCTGTGACACAGCAGGTTAACACCCTGGCCTGAGGTGCCTGCATCGCATACGGGCACCAGTTCTATTCCCAGCTGCTCCTCTTCCAATCCAGCTCTCTGCTATGGCCTGGGATAACAGTAGAAGATGGCCCAAGTCCTGGGGGTCCCTGCACCCACGTGGGAGACCTGGAGAAAGCTCCTGGCTCCTGGCTTCAGATTGGCACAGCTCCAGCTGTTGTGGCCAACTGGGGAGTGAACCAGAGGATGGAAGACCTCTCTCTCTCTCTGCCTCTTCTTTCTGTGTGTCTCTGACTTTCAAATAAATAAATAAATCTTTTTTTTTTAATAAAAGAGGGTAAGTGGGATGGGGAGCTGCCAAGTGGTATAAGGAGGGTCAGGGGAGTAGGTCTGGAATAGGGATGAGTATGATGTTAATAAGCAGAAAGGAGCCTGCCGGAAACAAGGAGAAGACTAGTGACGAGGGGCTCAGAGAGGACAGTGGAGTGTGGGGGACACCCGTGTAGAGCCTTGTAGGATGCTGTAAAGATATGAGCATTTGTCTTAAGAGGCATGAGAAGCCATTGAAGGGGGTCAAAAACATATTTTCATTTTTTTGACAGGTAGAGTGGACAGTAAGATAGAGGGACAGAGAGAGAAAGGTTTTCCTTTACTGTTGGTTCACCCTCCACTGGCCGCTGCGGCTGGTGTGCTGCAGCCGGCGCACCACACTGATCTGAAGCCAGGAGCCAGGTGCTTCTCCTGGTCTCCCATGGGGCACAGGGCCCAAGCACTTTTTTGGGCCATCTCCACTGCCTTCCCGGGCCACAGCAGAGAGCTGGCCTGGAAGAGGACCAACCGGGACAGAATCCGGCATCCCGACCGGGATTAGAACCCGTTGTGCTGGCGCCGCAGGCGGAGGATTAGCCTATTGAGCCACTGCAACGGCCCATATTTGCATTTTGAAAAGTCCACTCTGGGGGAATCAGAATATGATGGAGGTGGTAGGTGTTAGAGTGGGTGAAGAGAGACCAGCTTGGGGGGCCTCCATAGTTTTTTAGGCAGGAGAGGAGGTTGCTATGGTCTCAGTTGGTGGATGTGGATGCAAGTGGACAGGTCAGGGAGCTTCAATTGACATGACCAGATCATAGTTTAAACCCAATGATGTAGACAGAGAGCAAGTGTTACATATGACTCCCAAGTATCCAGACTTTACACCTGGAGGGGAATCGGTGCCATTCTCTGAGCTAGGACAAATTTTGAGGTGTAGGAGGCTCGTTGAGGCTTTTGAAATCTTAAGTTTAAAGAATTGGTGAACATCCAGGTGTTTGTGCCTGGTAGGCCACGGGGCATACAGCCAGTAATTCATCAGGGAGTCTGAGCTAAGGAGCATCATTGACTTATGGGAGGAAATCAAGTCCTGGCTATGGGAAACATCACTCGAGGAGACTGTGTAGCCTGGGCAGGGCGTCTTGAGGGCCACCACAATTTGATGACAAAGTTGAAGAAGACAAACCTGTCTAGAGAAGATGAGTTTACAACAAAGGCAAGAGAAGAGTGGCCCAAGGGGTAGCAGAAGACACAGGTGGTGGCTAAGTGCATCTTTGATAAACAAGCCTGACTGGGATGGTAATAAGTAGAAGACAGAGGAAGGTGGAAGTTGGGGTCCAAAAATCATGAACCTCCAAAAAGCTAACTCTTTTTAAA